GTTTATTTAAAAGTATATATGGATTAGTGAATTGGAAATTTAGAGGCTGTATAAATGGATTATGAATCAACAATGAACTTCCAAGTATCTTAAGTGTTAATTTAAATGAAAGAAATGAAATAGTGAAATTTCGGCTAAAATTTTAATGAAATTTTGAAATTTTGGCTTCGAAAAATTTGAACTCAACGAAATCAGAAAACATTCGTGAATTTAGACACACAGTGTAGATTACCTGCAGATTTTATAATAAAACCGCCAACAACGCTTCCGAATCCTTTTCCAATTCCGTGATAGAGGAGCATGAGCAAGGTCTGCGCTGTTGTTTTGAGCGGTGGTGGAGCGATTAGCGAAATGTACGACGATCCTGATGCCCATGTTGTTGCTAATGTTAGACCTATAACCACCACAGTGCTACTGTAATTTCGTAAAGTAGCCCCAATACAGTGTAAATTCCAAGAAAAAAGGCTCCTGCGTTCCACTATTTGGTTTAACAAATGCTTCAGTGCTGTTTATTCAGCCATGTTTACATCACTTTACACCCGGGCTTTAGTTTGTAGCCCCTCTCATTCACATCTATTTCCTTTATCCTGCTTGTCTTACTTCCTCCCTTCTACAGCCGTACATGCCTCTGTTCCGAGAGTCACTTTTCCTTTCGCAGAAATCACTCAGGAAACGGAAGCATAGGCGGACTCAGGACGGTCTCCTGAAGAGAGTTTTCTTCAGTTTTAGCTTTAGATCCTAACTTTTGTAGCACTAGTGCCTATGTCGCTGGGGAAGACCCATCCCCTCCCTCTCCGGGACAGGCTTAAAAACGGAAGGGGACTTATGAGAGACCGTCTTTCCAGTTTACTTTAGGGATTTCAGTCTCGACTCGAGTCAAAAAAAAATTCTCATTGGGGCAGGAAGAAATCTCAGTGTCTCAGCCCTTTTGGATATATAACATAACAGAAGCAGAGAAAAATTTCTTTTGTGTCTTCAGCATTCTTGGAAAATGGAACAGATCGAAAAATATATTTATGACGGTGCTCCTGTGCGAAAATTGAGATTTTTTTTTTTTTGAAAAATTCACGCAAAAAAAAAGAATCCAGAGG